GTTTACCCATTCATTCACCCCAATATTTCCTTTTATCGTTCGTTTGTTTGTTTGTTCGTTTACCCATTCATTCACCCCAATATTTCCCTACTTCCCCTAACCCACTTAACTATCTACTATCTACCCCTAACCATTCTCCCTTCCCATTCTCCATTAAACATACATCCTACCAATCAACAAAATTTTTCCCAAACTTCTCAGAAAAAAAGGATTTGAACCTTTATCACCAACTCCCAAAGCTGGTATTTTCATTAAACTACTTCCTGAATTAAACTCCTAAACTGCCCGAATAGCCCCCCGAGACAACCCCCGTACAAGTTCCAACACAACAAATAACGTTAATAATAAACCCCAGCCCGCAATCAAAAACTGCCCCACCCCTCAAGAATAAAATATAGCCGCACCCTCAAAATCTAGCCGAACAGAAGAAATACCCCCACTGTCCACCGTATCTACTCCCAATCACCGTAACCCAGACAATCCCATAATAAATGCTCCTCCCCCCAACGCTAAAATTAACCCAGCACCATACCCAACAACCCGCCAATCTCCCCATGCCTCAGGAAAAGGATCAGCTGCTAACGAAACTGAATATACAAAAACCACCAACATCCCACCTAAGTATACCAAAAACAATACTAACGACACAAAAGACACCCCCAAACTTATTAACCACACACACCCCACAACAGACGCTAACACCAATCCTACCACCCCATAATAAGGAGAAGGATTAGAAGCAACCGCTAACCCCCCCAAAATAAAGCTAACACTTAAAAAAAGTAAAAAATATGTCATAACAATTCTTGCTCAGCTTCTATCCAAGACTCTTGGTCTGAAAAACCACCGTTGTACTTTCAACTACAAGAACCTAAAACCCTAAAGCACATTCCCCACTTATACAACAATCAAACCCCCACCTCCCAACCAATATATTTTTGTTATCCACCAAATCCAACCTCCAGTGCTTACAACCTATCAACTTAACAGACCTAAATCAACATCAACTACCCTACAAACTAAAACAACATATCAACAGCAACTAGTCCCTGTAGCTTACAATAAAGCATAACACTGAAGATGTTAAGACGGCTACCACACGTACCCAAGGACAAAAAGACTTAGTCCTAACCTTACAGTTAGTTCTTGCTAGATATATACATGCAAGTATCCGCATCCCAGTGAAAATGCCCTTAAAACCTTAAAAAGGCAGCAGGAGCAGGCATCAGGCTCACCACCTTAACCGTAGCCCAAAACGCCTTGCCAAGCCACACCCCCACGGGTATTCAGCAGTAATTAACATTAAGCTATAAGTGTAAACTTGACTTAGTTAAAGCAATTCTCCAGGGTTGGTAAATCTTGTGCCAGCCACCGCGGTCACACAAGAAACCCAAATTAACTTCATACGGCGTAAAGAGTGGTTTTTCCCTATCACTTCAACTAAGATTGAAATACAACCAAGCTGTTATAAGCACAAGATGTACCTAATATTCCCATAAAAATGATCTTAGCCTTATGATCAACAAGACCTCCACGAAAGCCAGGACACAAACTGGGATTAGATACCCCACTATGCCTGGCCCTAAATCCTGATGCTTTCATCACCCAAGCATCCGCCTGAGAACTACGAGCACTAACGCTTAAAACTCTAAGGACTTGGCGGTGCTCCAAACCCACCTAGAGGAGCCTGTTCTGTAATCGATAACCCACGATACACCCAACCACCTCTAGCCAAATCAGCCTATATACCGCCGTCGTCAGCTCACCCCTAAACTGAGGGCCTAACAGTGAGCACAACAGCACTACCCCGCTAGCAAGACAGGTCAAGGTATAGCTCATGGGATGGTAGAAATGGGCTACATTTTCTATGATAGAAAACTCACGACAAGGACTGTGAAACCACTCCTAAAAGGCGGATTTAGCAGTAAAGTAGGATAATTATGCCTTCTTTAAGCTGGCTCTGAAGCACGTACATACCGCCCGTCACCCTCTTCACAAGCTATAATCAATTTTATTCATAATAAGCCTTCAAGCTAAAGACGAGGCAAGTCGTAACAAGGTAAGTGTACCGGAAGGTGCACTTAGTCTACCAAGACGTAGCTATAACAAAAGCATTCAGCTTACACCTGAAAGATATCTGTCCCATATCAGATCGCCTTGAAGCCCAACTCTAGCTCTTCCACCAATCACCATACAAACCAACCCAATACTACCCATTAAATCAAAGCATTTTCTCATTCAACCTAGTATCGGCGATAGAAAGGTAGATTCAAAGACGCGATAGAGACCACGTACCGTAAGGGAAAGATGAAATAACAGTGACAAACCAAGCACAAAATAGCAAAGATCAACCCTTGTACCTTTTGCATCATGATTTAGCAAGAATTTCTCAAGCAAAATGCTAATTTAAGCTTGCCACCCCGAAACCCAAGCGAGCTACTCACGAGCAGTTATTTATTGAGCAAACCCGTCTCTGTTGCAAAAGAGTGGGATGACTCGTTAGTAGAGGTGAAAAGCCAACCGAGCTGGGTGATAGCTGGTTGCCTATGAAATGAATCTTAGTTCCCTCTTAATTCACCTCCCAGGACTTCACTCAACCTCCATGAAGCGAATTAAGGGCTATTTAAAGGAGGTACAGCTCCTTTAAAAAAGAATACACTCTCCCCCAGCGGATAAATTAAATTTATACCTTACCTGTGGGCCTTCGAGCAGCCACCATCAAAGAGTGCGTCAAAGCTCTTTACTTAAAAATCCTAAACCCTCTTATGACTCCCTCCCCTACTAATAGGCCAACTTATAATTAATAAGAGAACTTATGCTAAAATAAGTAACTAGGGATCCCCTCTACGGCGCAAGTTTACATCACAATATTATTAACAAACCATAAGATACTTTCTAAACCTAACAAGGCACTGTATCAAAAACTTTGTTAACCCACCTACGGAGCGCCTCTCAGAGAACGATTAAAATCTGTAAAAGGAACTCGGCAAATTCAAGGCCCGACTGTTTACCAAAAACATAGCCTTTAGCAAACCAAGTATTGAAGGTGAAGCCTGCCCAGTGACAATACGTTCAACGGCCGCGGTATCCTAACCGTGCAAAGGTAGCGCAATCAATTGTCCCATAAATCGGGACCTGTATGAATGGTCCAACGAGGTCTTAGCTGTCTCCTACAGATAATCAGTGAAATTGATCTTCTTGTGCAAAAGCAGGAATAATCTCATAAGACAAGAAGACCCTGTGGAACTTTAAAATCTGCAGCCACTCCCATAAACAACCCCTCTCCACAGGACCCACTCCTCCAGGATAACATTGGCATGCATTTTTTGGTTGGGGCGACCTTGGAGATTAACATAACCTCCAAAAACCAGACAACCCATCTTAACCAAGAACAACTCATCAACGTACTAATAGTAACCAGACCCAATATAATTGACCAATGAACATAGCTACCCCAGGGATAACAGCGCAATCTCCTTCAAGAGCCCCCATCGACAAGGAGGTTTACGACCTCGATGTTGGATCAGGACATCCTGGTGGTGCAACCGCTACCAAGGGTTCGTTTGTTCAACGATTAACAGTCCTACGTGATCTGAGTTCAGACCGGAGTAATCCAGGTCGGTTTCTATCTATGCTATAACTCCTTCTAGTACGAAAGGACCGAAGAAGTAAGGCCTATACCTCAAGCACGCCTTCGCCTCCAGTAATGAACCTAACTAAATTACCAAAGGCTCTACCACATTTTCCCCCTTCTCCTAGAAAAGGACCGCTAGCGTGGCAGAGCTCGGTAAATGCAAAAGGCTTAAGCCCTTTACCCAGAGGTTCAAATCCTCTCCCTAGCTCCACATAAAACATATGACAACTCACCCTACTCTGACCCACCTCATTATATCGTTATCCTATGCCCTACCCATTCTCATCGCCGTAGCATTCCTCACTCTAGTTGAACGTAAAGTCCTAAGCTACATACAAGCCCGAAAAGGGCCCAACATTGTAGGACCATTTGGTCTTTTACAACCCATAGCAGATGGCGTAAAACTATTCATCAAAGAACCAATCCGCCCATCAACTTCATCTCCCTATTTATTTATAGCCACTCCCATCTTAGCCCTTCTCCTAGCAATCACAATCTGAACACCTCTCCCTCTACCCTTCCCCCTCACTGACCTAAACCTTGGCATACTCTTTCTTCTAGCCCTCTCCAGTCTAGCAGTCTACTCTATTCTATGATCAGGATGAGCATCCAATTCAAAGTATGCCTTAATTGGTGCCCTGCGGGCAGTTGCACAAACTATCTCATACGAAGTCACCCTGGCCATTATCCTTCTATCCGTAATCATTCTATGCGGAAATTACACTCTAAGTACCCTTACTACAACCCAAGAGCCTCTCTACCTCATTTTTTCCTCTTGACCTCTAGCAATAATGTGATACATCTCCTCGCTTGCTGAAACAAACCGTGCCCCCTTTGACTTAACAGAGGGAGAATCTGAACTCGTCTCAGGATTTAATGTAGAATATGCTGCAGGGCCATTTGCCCTGTTCTTCCTAGCTGAATACGCCAACATTATACTGATAAACACTCTCACAACCATCTTATTTCTAAACCCCAGCTCACTTAACCTCCCCCAAGAACTCTTCCCCATGACTCTAGCAACCAAAACCCTTCTCCTCTCCGCAGGCTTCCTATGAATTCGCGCCTCCTACCCTCGATTCCGCTACGATCAACTCATACACTTGCTTTGAAAAAACTTCCTACCCCTAACGCTAGCCTTATGCCTATGACATACTAGCTTCCCTATCTCCTATGCAGGCTTACCCCCCTACCTAAGACCCTCCTCGGAAATGTGCCTGAATCTAAAAGGGCCACTATGATAAAGTGAACATAGAGGTATACCAGCCCTCTCATTTCCTAGTCTTAGAAAAGTGGGAATTGAACCCACACTAAAGGAATCAAAATCCTCTATACTCCCTTTATATTATCTTCTAGTAAGGTCAGCTAATTAAGCTATCGGGCCCATACCCCGAAAATGATGGTTCAACCCCTTCCTTTACTAATGAATCCTCAAGCTAAATTAATCTCTACAATAAGCCTACTCCTAGGAACCTCTATTACAACCTCAAGTAGTCACTGAGCAATAGCATGAGTCGGCCTAGAAATCAACACTTTAGCCATTCTTCCCTTAATTTCAAAAAGCCATCATCCACGAGCCATTGAAGCTTCCACCAAATATTTCCTTACTCAAGCAACTGCATCCACACTGCTCCTATTCTCTAGCATAACCAACGCATGATTCTCAGGCCAATGAGACATTACCCAATTAACCCACCCTATATCATGCATGCTATTAACAATTGCAATTTCAATCAAACTAGGCTTAGTCCCATTCCATTTCTGATTTCCAGAGGTCCTTCAAGGTTCAACCCTAATAACATGCCTCTTACTAGCCACAGTGATAAAATTTCCTCCCATTACCCTTCTCTACCTAACATCCCCTTCACTCAACCCCATCCTCCTATCCTCAATAGCTATCGCTTCCACAGCCCTAGGTGGTTGAATAGGACTAAATCAAACGCAAACTCGCAAAATCCTAGCCTTCTCATCCATTGCACACCTAGGATGAATAGCCATTATCCTTATCTACGACCCTAACCTCACTTTAATTACCTTTTATTTATATACTATAACAACCTCCGCTATCTTTTTCATTCTCAACATAACCAATTCCTTAAAACTATCCACTATAATGACAGCATGAACCAAAATTCCCTCATTAACCACAATTCTTATACTCGCCCTTCTCTCCCTCGCAGGTCTCCCGCCCCTAACAGGATTCCTGCCTAAATGACTTATTATTCAAGAACTAACTAAACAAGAACTGACTATGGTCGCTACAACTATTACCCTTCTCTCCTTACTCGGGCTTTTCTTCTATCTTCGTCTTGCCTATTGCGCAACTATCACACTACCCCCAAACTCCACTAACTACATAAAACAGTGACAAACTAACAAGTCAACTAACATCCTAGCTACAACCTTTACCACCTTATCAATCATGCTCCTGCCACTATCTCCCACAGTACTTACAATCCCTTAGAAACTTAGGTTATTTAAACCAAAGGCCTTCAAAGCCTTAAATAAGAGCTTATCCCTCTTAGTTTCTGCTAAGGTCCGCAGGATACTAACCTACATCCCCTGATTGCAACTCAGATGCTTTAACTAAGCTAGAACCTTCCCCTAGGCAGATGGGCTTCGATCCCATAAAACTTTAGTTAACAGCTAAATGCCCTAGCCAACAGGCTTCTGCCTACCAGATCCTGGTGCACATTCAATGCACATCAATGAGCTTGCAACTCAACATGAATTTCACTACAGAATCGATAAGAAGAGGAATCAAACCTCTGTAAAAAGGACTACAGCCTAACGCTTTAACATTCAGCCATCTTACCTATGACTTTCATCAACCGCTGACTATTCTCCACCAACCACAAAGACATTGGCACACTCTACCTTATTTTCGGTGCATGAGCAGGCATAATTGGTACAGCCCTAAGCCTCCTCATCCGAGCAGAGCTAGGACAACCAGGAACCCTTTTAGGCGATGACCAAATCTATAATGTAATCGTCACCGCACATGCCTTTGTCATAATTTTCTTTATAGTAATACCCATCATAATTGGGGGGTTCGGCAACTGACTAGTCCCCCTAATAATTGGCGCCCCCGACATAGCATTCCCCCGAATAAACAACATGAGCTTCTGACTCCTTCCCCCATCTTTTCTACTACTCTTAGCATCCTCCACAGTAGAAGCCGGAGTCGGAACAGGATGAACTGTATACCCACCCCTAGCCGGCAATCTTGCTCACGCCGGGGCATCAGTAGACCTCGCCATCTTCTCCCTACACCTGGCAGGTGTTTCTTCCATCCTTGGAGCCATCAACTTTATCACTACAGCAATCAACATAAAACCACCCGCCCTCTCACAATACCAAACCCCCTTATTTGTCTGATCTGTTTTAATCACCGCCGTCTTACTTCTCCTCTCCCTACCAGTCCTTGCCGCTGGCATTACAATGCTCCTAACAGACCGAAATCTAAACACTACATTCTTCGATCCTGCAGGAGGTGGAGACCCAATCTTATACCAACACTTATTCTGATTCTTCGGACATCCAGAAGTCTACATCCTCATCCTACCAGGGTTCGGAATTATCTCCCACGTCGTAGCTTACTACGCTGGCAAAAAAGAACCCTTCGGCTACATAGGCATAGTCTGAGCCATACTATCTATTGGCTTCTTAGGCTTCATTGTATGAGCCCATCACATATTCACAGTTGGAATAGACGTAGACACTCGAGCTTACTTTACATCCGCTACCATAATCATTGCAATCCCCACTGGTATCAAAGTCTTCAGTTGACTAGCCACCCTGCATGGAGGTACTATCAAATGAGACCCACCCATGCTATGAGCCTTAGGCTTTATCTTCCTTTTCACCATTGGAGGACTAACAGGAATCGTCCTAGCTAACTCCTCCCTAGACATTGCTTTACATGATACCTATTACGTAGTCGCACACTTCCACTATGTATTATCTATAGGAGCAGTATTTGCTATCCTAGCTGGCTTCACACACTGATTTCCACTGTTCACTGGTTATACCCTCCACCCCACATGAGCCAAAGCCCATTTCGGAATCATATTCTTCGGAGTAAACCTCACATTTTTTCCACAACATTTCCTAGGTCTAGCTGGAATACCACGACGATATTCAGATTATCCAGACGCTTACACCCTATGAAACACTCTATCTTCCATCGGCTCCCTCATTTCCATAATCGCTGTAATTATATTAATATTCATTATCTGAGAAGCCTTCGCATCCAAACGAAAAGTAACGCAGCCAGAACTAACCTCTACAAACATCGAATGAATTCACGGCTGCCCTCCCCCTTACCACACCTTCGAAGAACCAGCTTTTGTTCAAGTACAAGAAAGGAAGGAGTCGAACCCTCATAAGCTGGTTTCAAGCCAACCGCATTAAACCACTCATGCTTCTTTCTTATGGGTTGTTAGTAAAGCCATTACATAGCCTTGTCAAGACTAAATCACAGGTGAAAACCCAGTACACCCCATCCCTTACCCCATGGCCAACCATTCTCAACTTGGTTTTCAAGACGCCTCATCACCTATTATAGAAGAACTTATCGAATTCCACGACCATGCATTAATAGTTGCCCTAGCCATTTGCAGCCTAGTCCTATATCTCCTAGCTCTCATACTTATAGAAAAACTATCCTCTAACACCGTAGACGCACAAGAAGTAGAACTTGTTTGAACAATCCTGCCCGCTATTGTCCTAGTCATGTTAGCCCTCCCATCCCTCCAAATCCTCTATATAATAGACGAAATTGACGAACCCGACCTCACCCTTAAAGCTATTGGACATCAATGATATTGATCCTACGAATACACAGACTTTAAAGACCTATCTTTTGACTCCTACATACTACCAACTTCAGACCTACCACTTGGCCACTTCCGCCTTCTAGAGGTCGATAACCGTATTGTAATCCCAATAGAATCCCCAATCCGAATTATTGTTACAGCTGACGATGTCCTCCACTCCTGAGCCGTACCCAGCCTTGGTGTAAAAACCGATGCAATTCCTGGACGATTGAACCAAACTTCCTTCATCACAACCCGCCCTGGAGTCTTTTATGGCCAATGCTCAGAAATCTGTGGAGCCAACCATAGCTTCATACCCATCGTAGTAGAATCAGCCCCTCTAGCACATTTCGAAAACTGATCTTCACTTCTAACTTCCTAATCATTAAGAAGCTATGAACCAGCACTAGCCTTTTAAGCTAGAGAAAGAGGACCATTCCCCCTCCTTAATGATATGCCCCAATTAAACCCAGCACCATGACTCTTTATTATACTCACCTCATGATATATTTTCTCCCTCATTCTTCAACCCAAGCTCCTATTATTTACCTCAACTAACTCACCTTCCAACAAAATATTAACTCCCATAAAAACTTCCTCCTGAAACTGACCATGAACCTAAGCTTCTTCGATCAATTCATAAGTCCCTCTCTCCTTGGAATCCCTCTTATCCTCATCTCACTGCTATTTCCAGCACTTCTATTCCCCTCCCCCGGCAGCCGATGAATTACAAATCGCCTCTTAACTCTTCAGCTCTGATTCTTCCATCTAATCACAAAACAGCTAATAACCCCCCTAAACAAAAAAGGACATAAATGAGCCCTAATCCTACTGTCACTAATAATCATACTATTAACAATTAACTTACTAGGCCTTTTACCTTATACATTCACACCTACTACTCAACTGTCAATAAACCTAGCCCTAGCCTTCCCTCTATGACTTGCCACTTTACTCACAGGCCTGCGAAACCAACCCTCAGCCTCTCTAGGCCATCTTCTACCCGAAGGTACCCCAACACCTTTAATTCCCGCCCTTATTCTAATCGAAACAACAAGCCTTCTTATCCGCCCCCTAGCCCTAGGAGTCCGTCTTACAGCTAACCTCACAGCAGGCCACCTACTCATTCAACTCATCTCAACAGCCTCTACCGTTCTTCTTCCCATCATGCCCGCTGTATCCCTCCTAACTACAGTAATTCTCCTCCTCCTTACAATTCTAGAAGTAGCTGTAGCCATGATCCAAGCTTATGTCTTCGTTCTTCTACTAAGCCTATATCTACAAGAAAACATTTAACCACTAATGACACACCAAGCACACTCCTTTCACATAGTAGACCCAAGCCCTTGACCCATCTTCGGAGCAATAGCCGCCCTGCTCACCACCTCCGGATTAGCCATATGATTCCACCACAACTCCACACAACTCTTATCCCTAGGCCTACTCTCCACAATTCTAGTAATGATTCAATGATGGCGTGATATTATTCGAGAAAGCACATTCCAAGGCCACCATACCCCTACAGTCCAAAAAGGTCTACGCTACGGAATAATTCTATTTATTACATCCGAAGCCTTCTTCTTCCTAGGATTCTTCTGAGCATTCTTCCACTCTAGCCTGGTCCCTACCCCAGAACTTGGAGGACAGTGACCCCCAATAGGAATCAAACCCCTTAACCCAATAGAAGTCCCCCTACTAAACACTGCAATCCTCCTGGCTTCAGGAATTACCGTCACATGAGCACATCATAGCATTACTGAGGGTAGTCGAAACCAAGCTACCCAAGCTTTACTTATAACTGTCCTACTAGGATTCTACTTCACTGCACTCCAAGCAATAGAATACTATGAGGCCCCATTCTCAATTGCTGATGGGGTATATGGATCAACCTTCTTCGTAGCCACAGGATTCCACGGACTCCATGTAATCATCGGATCATCCTTCCTTTTAATCTGCCTCTTCCGCCTTATCAAATTCCACTTTACACCTAACCATCACTTCGGCTTTGAAGCTGCGGCTTGATACTGACATTTTGTTGATATTATTTGACTATTCCTCTACATAACAATTTACTGATGAGGATCTTGCCCTTCTAGTATATTAATTACAATTGACTTCCAATCTCTAAAATCTGGATCAAAACCAGAGAAAGGCAATCAACATAATCCTCTTTATATTTATTCTCTCTCTATCACTATCCATCACCCTCACCACATTAAACCTTTGACTAGCCCAAATAAACCCAGACTCAGAAAAGCTATCCCCATACGAATGTGGCTTCGACCCTCTAGGTTCTGCTCGTCTTCCATTCTCAATCCGATTTTTTCTCGTTGCAATCCTCTTTCTTCTATTTGACCTAGAAATTGCTCTCCTGCTACCCCTCCCATGAGCAACCCAACTCCACTCCCCTCTCATCACCTTAGCCTGAACTTCATTCCTCATTTTCCTCCTCACCCTAGGATTAATCTACGAATGACTTCAAGGAGGCTTAGAATGGGCAGAATAGCTACAGAAAGTTAGTCTAGCAAAGACAGTTGATTTCGGCTCAACAAACCACAGTTCTACCCCGTGACTTTCTCAATGACCTTCCTACATTTAAGCTTCTATTCTGCCTTCACCCTAAGCAGCCTAGGACTAGTCTTTCACCGAATACACTTAATCTCTGCACTTCTATGCTTAGAAAGCATAATACTATCTATATACATCGCCCTATCCATATGACCAATTCAAATCCAAATAACATCCTCTACCCTAATACCTGTTTTCATACTAGCATTCTCAGCCTGTGAAGCAGGCGCCGGTCTAGCAGTACTAGTAGCTTCAACCCGGACTCACGGGTCAGACCACCTACATAACCTAAACCTTCTACAATGCTAAAAATTGTCCTCCCCACAATCATACTACTCCCCATAACCCTTCTGTCCCCTCAAAAATTCCTATGACTTAACGCCTCCTCCCACAGCCTCCTAATCGCAATCGTCAGCCTGCAATGGCTCTCTCCAACTTACTACCCTAGCAAAAACCTCTCCCAATGATACGGCACTGATCAAATTTCATCCCCTTTATTGGTCTTATCTTGCTGACTTCTTCCTCTTATAATCTTAGCAAGCCAAAACCACCTCCAACAAGAACCACACACGCGCAAATACATCTTCATTACAACCATAATTCTTACCCAACCCTTTATTATCCTAGCCTTCTCGGCCCTAGAGCTAATATTATTCTATATCGCATTCGAAGCCACCCTAATTCCTACCCTAATTTTAATTACGCGATGGGGCAGCCAACCAGAACGTTTAAGCGCTGGAATCTACCTGCTATTCTATACATTGATTAGCTCTCTCCCCCTGCTAGTCGCGATTCTCCATCTACACTCTCAAACAGGAACGATACACATTGCTATAATAAAACTTCTACATACACCCCTTGCAGGTTGTTGAACAAGCCTCGTATCAAGTCTAGCCCTATTACTTGCCTTCATAGTAAAGGCCCCCCTCTATGGCTTACACCTATGGCTCCCAAAAGCACACGTAGAGGCACCAATCGCAGGATCCATACTCCTAGCCGCACTCCTCCTTAAACTTGGAGGGTACGGTATCATACGTATCTCAATAATCACAAACCCCCTACTAGAGTCCCTCTACTACCCATTCCTAACCCTAGCCCTATGAGGGGCTTTAATGACAAGCTCCATCTGCCTACGCCAAATTGACCTAAAATCATTAATTGCATACTCCTCAGTAAGTCACATAGGCCTAGTCATTGCCGCAGTAATAATCCAAACTCACTGGTCCTTTTCAGGAGCCATAATCCTAATAATCTCCCATGGACTTACCTCCTCCATACTATTCTGCTTAGCCAATACAAATTATGAACGCATACACAGCCGTACCCTCCTTCTAACACGAGGCCTACAACCCCTCCTACCTCTCACAGGGACATGATGACTTCTAGCCAACTTAACCAACATAGCACTTCCCCCCACTACCAACTTAATAGCTGAATTAAGTATTATAATTGCTCTCTTCAATTGATCCACATTCACCATTATCCTAACAGGAATCGCAACCCTACTAACCGCATCCTATACTCTATACATGCTCCTCATAACCCAACGAGGACCAACCCCAACCTATATCATATCCACTCAAAACTCAAGCACACGAGAACATCTTCTCATAACACTCCATATCCTACCCTCCCTCCTCCTTATTCTAAAGCCAGAACTAATTTCAGGAATCCCCACATGCAAGCATAGTTTTAAGCCAAACATTAGACTGTGATCCTAAAAATAGAAGTTAAACCCTTCTTGCCTGCCGAGGGGAGGTTTAACCAACAAGAACTGCTAACTCTTACATCTGAGCCTAAAACCTCAGTCCCCTTACTTTTAAAGGATAGCAGTAATCCATTGGTCTTAGGAGCCAATTACCTTGGTGCAAATCCAAGTAAAAGTAGTGGACTTTCCAGTAATCCTTAACACCTTCATACTCTTAACCTTGATCATTCTTTCCACTCCCATCCTTCTCCCCCTTCTATCCAAAAATTACCAAAACTCCCCCACCACTATTATACAGACTGTTAAAACCTCCTTCATACTCAGCCTAATCCCCATAACCCTCTCCATCTACTCGAACGTAGAAAGCACTACCCTATATTGAGAATGAAAGTTCATTATAAACTTCAAAATCCCTTTTAGCCTCAAGATAGACCAATACTCCCTAGTGTTCTTCCCCATTGCACTATTCGTAACATGATCAATTCTTCAATTCACAACATGATACATGGCCTCAGAACCTCACACCACCAAATTCTCTCTCTACCTCTTAATCTTTCTCATCGCTATACTCACCTTAATTATCGCCAACAACATGTTTCTTCTGTTTATTGGCTGAGAAGGGGTTGGAATTATATCCTTCCTCTTAATCGGATGGTGGCACGGCCGAGCAGAAGCTAACACTGCTGCACTTCAAGCCGTGCTTTACAACCGCATCGGAGACATCGGGCTGATTCTCTGCATAGCATGACTAGCTTCATCAACAAACACCTGAGAAATTCAACAATACTCCCTAAACCAAACTCCCCTCCTCCCCCTCATAGGACTTATCCTAGCAGCCACAGGAAAATCCGCTCAATTTGGCCTTCACCCATGACTCCCGGCCGCCATAGAAGGACCTACCCCAGTATCTGCCCTACTACATTCCAGCACAATAGTAGTCGCCGGAATCTTCCTACTCATTCGCACTCACCACTTGCTATCTAATAACCAAACTGCCCTAACCTTATGCCTCTGCATAGGTGCTCTATCCACGGTCTTTGCCGCTACATGCGCTCTTACCCAGAACGACATCAAAAAAATTATCGCTTTTTCTACATCTAGTCAACT